CTCTTATTACTTTGGCACAGAAGACTTTGCAAGAATCAAGTTCCTGTTGGACTCTTGGTGTCTGCACAGCATATGGGCTTGGTCTGCAGCATTCTTGCTTGCCCAGCAGAACATCCCAAAGAATGTCTGTTTTGGGTTCACTAGAAGACATTTGGGTCATCTCAAGCCCCAAATGGCTCCAGCTGGGCATGAATTACCATCCACTTCTGTTGCACAGTGGAGTGAATTGAAACAAAAGAATGCCATCACCTTTGTGCATTTGGTTCCTGATAGGAGCTGTGCTAGGAAGGGGGTACAGCAGTGAACAAAGGCCGACGTTGTCCCTCATGGAGCTTACAGATAAATACTAAAAACATAAAATAATTACAGATCAGAAAAATGAAGAGAAAATAATAGTCCTTATGAATGACACCAGAGGTCAAGCCATAAATTTGTTATGTTCTATAATTAGAAACACTGAGTTTGCTTTTAACTTTAAATAAGATGCATCTATAATAATGGCCTGTCTCTGTCTTCAGCCAGGTTTTCTTAATTCCAGTCAGTAGATTGTGGCACTCACTGTGGTGGTAACAAACAGGGTTTCTTAACTTTGGCCTAGGAGCCAGGTTTCCCCCAAGTCCGGCATCTCTCTCGACTGTGTCCGTCTGGACCTCCTAAGGGTGACTAATGCAGATTTCCAGGCCCAGCCCCAGTCAACATAATCAGAACCCATGGAATACATGGAACCCCGACTCCATGTGTGTAAAAAGAAACACCAAGTGATTTTGATGCTGTCTTAAGCTTGAGAACCACTCAACTCAACCAGGACTAGAAATCCCTTCAGCCTTTACCACAACCTGGCCCACTTCTTGGTCCTCGTATCAGAGAAATCTCTTCCTTTTGTCAGGCATCTGTGAGTTTTTCTCCAGTGTGTTCAGGTGTTCCCTCTCTAAGACTAAATGTTCAGGCTGTGTCCTACCCCATGCCCCTTGCTCTGAAGAACATGGAGGAGTTCCGTACCCACTGAATCCATAGCCCCCACTCATGCTTCAGCACCCCCCATCTTCCTTCTCCCACCTCATCCTCTGATCACAGTTCCAGAAAGGTCACAGGAGCCACCCACTGATGTCTAACTTGACCTCCTTGTAGCATCTAACAGCGTGGCTGACCCTCCTCATCTACTGGTGCCTTTCTTTAATTTTTATTTATTTTGTTGAGATGCATTTGACATACAAATTTAGTTTTAGGTATACAAAATAATGATTCAGTATTTATATATATTGCAAAATGATCATCACAGTAAGTCCGGTGAACATCTATCAATTCATAGTTACAGGGTTTTTTCTCGTGATGAGAACTTTTACTATCTGCTCTTAGCAATTTTCAAGCGTGTGGTGCAGTTTTGTTAACGAGGGTCACCATGTTGTATATTCCATCTCCAGGACTTAATTATTTTGTGACTGGAAGTTTGTACCTTTCGAGGTCCTTCAGTCATTTTGCCTACCACACCTCCTGCCTCTGGCGACCACCAGTCTGTTCTCTGTATCTGTGAACTTGTTTTGTTTTATTTTTGGATTCCACGTATGAGATCATGCATTATTTATCATTTTCTGTCTTATTTCATTTAGCCATACTGCCCTCAGGGTCCATCTATGCTAACACAAGATTTCATTCTTCCTTATGGTAGTAGTATTCCGTTGTATATATACACCACATTTTCTTTCTCCATTCATTCATCAGTGGCCACTTAGGCTGTCTCCATATCTTGGCAGTTGTAAATGATGCTGTAGTGAGCATGGAGTGCAGATATATTTTTGAATTAGTGGTTTCATTTCCTTCAAATCAGTACCCAGAAGCAGGATTTCTAGGTCATATAGTAGCTCTATTTTGAATTTTTTGAGGATCCCGCATACTGTTTTTCTTTTTCTTTTTTTTAAAGATTTTATTTATTAGAGCATGAGGGTGGGGAGAGGCAGAGGGAGAAGGAGAAGCAGGCTCCCCGCTGAGCAGTGACACCCCCCCTCAACACCTCTGGATCCCAGGACCCTGAAATCATGACCTGAGCCCAAGGCAGACACTTCACCGACTGAGCCCCCCAGGGGCTCCTATGCTGTTTTGCACCATGCCTGCACCAATGTACATTCCTGCCAAAGTGCACAGGCATCTAGTGGTGGTAGTGACCCTTCTCCTCTATTGACGATCGCTCTTCTCCAGGAAAGGGAGGGCATCTTGTGTTCTTATCTCCCACTGTTCTTCCTTTGTGGTGTCCTGGGACCCCACGCTTTCTGCTACCTCCTCTACACTGCCCACTTCCAGTTTCCCACTAGACATCATTTTTGGGTCCAGACAAACACTGGACACTACAATACATTTAAGTCTGAATCCAGTCCTGGTCTCAGACAGCTTTGCCTCTTCTGCCATTCCCTGACAGGAATCCCCCATAATGTCTAAAACACACATGGTTCAAATTCGAAAGGTCCAAAAGGCATGCAGCAGATCATAGGTATTTCTCCCCACTGGCACCCACATACCCAGTTTCCCCACCACATACTGGCCACCCCTGTTTCCATCCTCTGGATTCCTCCCTACCCCCATCTGGCTCCAGGTTCTGGTGCCAGCCTTTCTTTTATGGACTTTGACACCTCTTCTTTTTTCTTTTTATTCCTACTGAGGCTTAGTTGAAAACAGAGCCCAAACTAGAGGCCTCACCCTTCTAGCCAGCCTGTGGCATGCTTTCAGATGGGTCTTGTCTTACCCAGTGTTGCCCACTCCCCTCCTTACACTCTACAGACATCCCCCCGGTCCCCAAACTTGCTGAGGGACAACCTTCCGAGCTTGGCATCAAAGCTCCTCAAAGCTGAGCCTGCCCCATTTTCTCTCTCTTGCTTTGCCCCACTTTCCTCATGAATGAGATGGGGGTAATAGCAGTATTGAGCTCATACTATTTTTAAAGATTTAAAAAAAATCTTTCTAGGTGTATTTTGGTATCTTTTAAATTTGATATGATTTTAAACTTACAGGAAAGTTGCAAAAATATAAGAAATTTCCGTAGACCCTTTACCCAAATTGACCAATTTTTACGTTACCCGTTTACCTTATAGTCTCTCATTTTCCCTATGTGTATGTGAGTTTGTGTATGTGTACTTATATATACAAACATATATGATTAAATATATGAAACCATGACATATATAAACCATTTAAAAGTACGTTATAGGGACGCCTGGGTAGCTCAGTTGGTTAAGTGCCCCACTCTTGATCTCAGCTCAGGTCTTGACCTCAAGGTCAAGAGTTCAAGCCCCATGTTGTGCCCCACATTGGGCTTCACGTTGGGCATGGAGCCTACTTAAACAAAATAATAATAATTTGGTTATTACTCTTAAATTGGACATCATGTCTCTTTCCACTAAGTACTTCAGTGTTTAGTATGTTTATTGTATGTGTGTATAAGAAATAAAACATCCTCTTACATAACCACACTTCATACAATTTTAATAAGTTTAAATTAAACTTATCTAAAATAAAAAAAAATAAAAAAATAAACTTATCTAAAATACTTTGCAGAATGCCCAACAGCATAGCATGCAGGTGCCAGTCGTTGTTAGCTGTGATTACTGAGCTCTCTTCATTGGTCTTCTGCATATAGTCCACCTGTGTTAGTGGCAGTACCCAGACATGCCCTACAATTTGCCATTCTCCCATCATGGCCCGTTTCCCAGCCCCGCCTGAATCCGTGGAGGCCCCACCTCCTTCACAGCCCACAGGTGATGATGCCTGCTCCAGGAGGCCTTCCCTCATCCATCACCTCCCTCCCTGCTCCTGCCTGGAAGAGCTCTACTTTAAGTCAAGCCTCTTCTAGTCAAAACCAGAAAAAGCCCATCCCAGATGGCTCTGGAAAAAGACTACTGTGAACTAAGATTTTACAGGAATCTAAGGAAGGGAATAGCAGTCCTCACTGCCGGGCAGGTGGGACTGCAGCTGGTGGCCACAATTTATGATGTCTCCTGAAACATACAACAACAGATCTAAAATTTGCTCATAAATTCACAACCTTGTTTCCAATCATTTCTGCCTCTAACTTTCTGTGTACACTTGGGCAAGCTACTTAAGCTCTTTGAGCCTCAGTTTCTTGCTTTATACAAATAAGGCTAAAATAATCACGATTTTATTGAGTGCTAAGTGTACACTAAATGCTTTATGTTTATTCAACCAATTATCTAAGGGAGGTGCTGTAGTTCTCCCTATACACAGAGGAGGAAGTGGAGACATGGGTGGGGGGTGCTAAGTAATTTGCTTAAGGTCACACAACTAGAAATCCCCAAAGCTGGGATTCAGTTTCAGGCTGTCTGGCTTCAGAGCTCCCACTCTTAAATTGCTATCCACTTTGAAGGACGATTGTGAGAATTGCAGCATGGGTTCTTCGTGTAAGGCACTTATCGGACAGCAAGGCTCAGGCTAAGTACTCAAAAATGTTATCAGTTATGACATTATCACAGCGTTAGGTGACCCTGATCCCCTTCACGGCCCCAGCCAGTCTCATAACCCTTCAACCCTACAACCACAGTTAGCTCAGTGTCCAAAAATTCAGTGTGGATTTGGAAAAATTGCAGAGCTGACCTTGAGTTGGACTCACCTGGTACAGGAAACTGTGACAAGGGTCAGGGGTCATGTGGTACCAACCACAGCAGCTGTCTGCTCAGGAGAGTCTGTGGGCAGTTGGCCATCCCCCAGTCATTCTTTCTCAGAACTTCTAAGTAAATTGTTCTGATTCTGTGGCAATGAGTAGGATTTGGTGGGTACTGTGTTTGAGCACATGCTCGATTCTGAGCCCTGCTTCTGCCCCCCCCCCCCCGTGTGACAGACTCCCACTCATTAGTGTGATTGATCCCTATCCTCTTGCTACTGGAAATGCAGGTTGTGGACCTGCACATCAGTATTGCCAGGGAGCTTGTTAAATATACAGAATTTCAGACTCCACTCCAGGCCCACGGAATCAGAAACCGTTTTTGCTTTTTTTTATTTTTAATATGGAATGCTTCACAAATTTGTGTGTCATCCTTGCGCAGGGGCCGTGGTAATCTCTGTATCATTTCAGTTTTAGTATATGTGCTTCTGAAGCAAGCACCAGAAGCTGCATTTTAACAAGATCCCAGTGGTCCTTAAGCATGTTCATTTAATACTCCTTATTGTTTATTGTGTAGCCCTGGGTTTTTTGTTGTTTTAGTTTTTTGTTTTTGTTTTGTGGCTGACTAGCTCTTACCAAGCTATGATGTGGGACACACCATGTAGTCATACTATCAATAAACAGTGGATTATTATCACCAGTTATAAACGCTGTTGGGGGATGAGTTTCTTAGCCTGTTCTCAGAGCTCCACGTGGAATAAGGGATTGAAGCCGGATGGAGTGTGAAAGTCAGTTCAAAGGGTATCACACCTGCTGAGAAAAGGCAGGTCCTGAGACTGTAACATATTCAGCACTTGGGGCAGAGCAGATCGGGCTGTGTGGGAAATCCCCAGGGTGGCAAAACATGGCCCTTGGGGACATGGGCAGTTAGAAGGTGGGAACCCTTGGGAGGCTAGTGCCTGTGGCTGTAACACATAATGAGGAGGTGGCCCAGCAGGCACTTGGCAAAGATCCCAAAGGCAGAGTTCCAACCCTCAGAGAACAGTGGCAAGAGCAAGACAAGGAGGTCTGGGGTTCCCCTGTAAGCTTCCCAGGCAGGGGCTTGAGCCAGTGAAACAAATGGCAGACTCCCTGGAACTAGTTCTGAATAGGCCAAAAATATTGCCATGAGGGTACTAGCAGAAACAATACCTACAGCCAAGGCTTAGGCTGGTTGAGCCAGAGGCCACACATGCAATCCCTGGTCCAAGCCAGGAGGACCCTGAGTAGGGTGGCAGAGACCAGGCTCCTGATGGAGGACCCAGGACAGGAGGGGCAGAAAGCCAGCTGTGAGCTGCAGAGAAAGTCTGTAAGAAGTCCGCAGACTGCCTTGCCTTTCCTGGCATGGAGTTGGCAGGGAGGTGTGGCCAGATTCCAGAAGGCTTTCCCATCACTGCTTGCTGGGCCCTGGTTCACCTGTGGACAGCCTTTTGGCGTTAAGTGTGGACCTTGCCCTGACACATTCCTGAGATAATGCCCATTGTCATCCCATGGAACACAGTGACAGCCATCCACGTGAGTGGGGCTCCTAACACCCTCCCTGGGTTCATTTCCAGTTTGTTTGATGTTGGTATGTCTGTCTGTGTAAAATGACTAAAGAACAAATCATTAGTGAGCTGTCCAAAGTCCCCTTGGGAACATTCCAGAAAAATAAACCAATATTCCATCAAAGCCACAAATGGCTCCCCCCCACCCCATTCCTTCAAAGCAGAGTTTCTCAGAGTGTGGTCCATAGACCTCCTGCCTTAGACTCCCCCAAGGAGCCCGTAAAACAGATTCCTGGGCCCCCACCTGAAATATACTGAATCAGAATCTCAGTGGGGCTCCAGGATTCTATATTTTTATTTTATTTCATTTTATTTATTTTTTAAATTTTATTTTATTTATTGGAATCTACATTTTAAATATGCTACCCAGACAATTCTAATACACCTTAAACTTGAAGCCCTCTCTTCCCCGCCCCAGGAGATGCTCTCTGTGCTCTGCATGAACCCTGTGTGTGCCCTGCCTGCTGACACTCCCGCTCTGCATTGCTACACCCAGCTTAAAGGCTTCCTCTTACGGGAGCCTGCCTTGTCCCAGCTCAGGTAAAGGCCTCCCCCGCCCCCTGTGCACATTTCTCATATGCATCCACGGTGGAGCCGTGATCCTTTTCATGTCTATGTTCTCCACCCAATGGGGAAGTGTCCTGCCTGTCTCCCAGGCCCGGCACAACATCTTGCATGGAATCAGTCCTAGCAAATGCATGGATACCCTTGAAGGCAGCTGAGAGGCAACGGGCAAGTCGCAGAACGAAGGGTGATGAGTAGATGCCTCCTGATGAGAAGCTGCCACCCTCGGACTCCTCCCTTGGTCAGTCTGAAGTCCTAGGTCAGGTTTTCAAGCCAGAGGGTGAGCATTAGACCCAGGGAGAGCCCAGGGCTCTGAGTGGCAGGGGGCAGAGCCCAGCTGCATGGGGGTGAGGCATCCTGGGTGGAAGCTCAGCTCTGGGTCTGCCTTCCTGATGTAGAAGAAAACACTCAAGGACAGTTTGCCAGCCCTGGCCTGACCCCGCACCCAGGGCCGCTGGAATGTGCAAGCGTCCCTCTTGTCAGACAGGAGGCATTAAAGAATAGAGCTATTGGACCGTGGAACTCCCACAGAGCCTTCCCCCAGAGTTTCTCAGCGTTTGCTACCGTGATTCTCTGTGTAAGGCTCTGCACTGCTGTTTGCCAAACCGGTAACTGTTCACCCAACAGAAATCACACAGGCCATCTTCGTCGTGTTGGTGAAGGCAGAGTTGGCTGCCTCTGTTCTAAAAATGCTGCCCATCACCTCTCTCTGAAACACAGGCCGCAGTTCCTTATCCTTCACTGGAACACCAGGAAGCCTGCTTTATGAGCCCAGGGTCCCTGCTCTGATCTTGCTTATCTGTGTGCCTCTGGTGGGCCGGAGGCCTTTTGGGGGCTGGCAAGGGAGCCACCAGAGGGAACTCTAGGTTAGCCCAGACGGTAGTGACCGCAGGGGACCTCAGTACAGGAGACGAACTGACCTCTTGATGCCTGAGGTCAGGGTAAGGGCAGTCTGCTCTCAATCCGAAGTAGGGTCAGAACCTTCCTTGGCCCTTGGAAGAGAAAAGATTGACTGAATTATAGGGGCAGGGTGGAGTCGCTGAGAGCTCAGTGTGCAGTAGGCCCTCAGCAAAGCTTCTTGAGTTGATGAAAGGGGAGCATCCAGTTCTAGTTAATGTGGGCTATGTCACAGTCCTTCAGACATTTGCTCTAATTCCAGGGGATGGGGGCCAGGTAGTCTAAGATCGTGGGTAATTACTGAGTTTCTTTTGTGCCTTTTTTTTCCACAAGGATATTATTTCTGAATCTGCTCCCTTTCTTTTCTCATCTCCCCAGGTTATACTTGTGTTGCTTCTAGGAGGAAGACAGTGCTGTGCTGTCATTTGGTCAGGATTTTATATTCAGAAATAAAGTTCATAAATCTTGCTAGAAGCTGAGGAAACTTCCTGGAGGTTGTGACCACTGCCACCTACCGAGGAAAGTTACATTCATTTACTGTTTCACTTGTCCTCAGTAGCTGCTGAGGCCCAGAGAGATTAGGGAATTTATCAAGATCACACAGCAAGTTGGCACAAGGGGTTGGGTTTCCATCCAGGGCTCAGGGCTTGTCACCGCCGCATTGTCTCCTGGAGGTCATTGGCTCACGTTGATGTAACATTGCTAACACTCATTGAGTTCTCTACCACTTCTCAGAGGGTTTTGTGTATGTGTCCTGATTTAAGAATTAGTTAAGCTTTCGCACTCTCCTGGGTGCAGCGACTGGAATCCAGGCGCTGGAGGAAGTTCCTGCCTCCTTCCTAGAGTCCACAGGCAGCCAGATCCCACAGGCCCTGCTCTATAGGGTGGTGAGGACAGGAGGTGTTGCCAGCGGGTGGTGGGCAGCATGGCCAGGGGGTGTGGAGGAGGTGGAGTTGTGATGACCCATGGGACTCAGGCTCCCTGTTAGCTCCCAGGCACTGCATCCTGGGCCCTCCCCCTGCCACAGCCTCCTCTTCTACTTCCCTCTTTAGCCCCTGCCCTCTTAGGATCTGTCGCTGTTTGGAAAAGTGAACACAGAGGCCTTTCCAGAAGAGTCCTGTTCTCCAGTATTCCCACTTACTCACTGGAGGGAGGGAGGGAGGGAGAGAAACAGAGACAGAGACAGAGAGAGACAGAGAGAGAGGGAGAGGAACAGGATTGTATGGAAAGAAGAGGCAAATGTATGGGAACAGTTAAGATGCAATTGCTAATGACTCCTGGAATTTGTCTCCTAAATGTCCTCCTTGCATGCAGGGACGCTGCCTGCCTTTGTGAGAGGCCAGGCAACACTGAATGATGTCTTATCAATACAGTACAATAGCCCTCGACGTCATGAAGATCCCGGTGTTAGGAGGACACAGCCATGAGGAGATGGAGGGGCCTTTCTACACAGCATGATCCAGCTTTTATTGTATAACCCCTGGGCCTACTGGCCCTTTGTTCCTGTTCTCTTTGACAAAGGATTTTTTTTTTTTTTTAACTTTCTGATTAGAAACCAGTAGTTTAAGCCTGCTAATCACCTCTTTTGGCTTGGCATGCAAACCAGGGAAAGGCCATAGCACTTAATCTGTTTGCAAGGTCTCTCTCAGTTCCAGAAGTTCAGAAACAGTCAGCACCCCCCCACCCCCAACTTCAAAACATCATTCAGGGTAATTCCTACTGCAATTATAATAATAAACATTCTGAGGTGTATTACCTATTAGTCTACTTTTTCAAACATTTATTTTTGATTGGGTAAAACAGACACAAAATTTACCATGTTAACCATAGTAAGTGGCCAGTTCATGATATTGAACACATTCACATTGCTGTGCATGGCAACCATCGTTCTTTCTGTTGTATCAGTTTGACTGCTCTGGGTACCTCATATGATGGAGTCACACGGTATTTGGTATCTGTTGTCTTGTGACTGGTTTGTTTCACTTAGTGTCACGCCCTCCAGGTTCATCCATTGCTGTTGCATGCAGCAGAATTTCCTTCCTTTTTTAAGGCCGAATAATATTCCATCGTGTGTACCTGCAATATTTTGTTTATCCACTTATCCAACTCATGGACACGGGGCTTGCTTTCACCTTTGGATTATTATGAATGATGCTGCTCTGACGGGCATATGAATATCTGTTCACGTCTTTGCCTTTAAATCCTTTGGCTGTAACCCCAGAAGTCCAGAAGGGGAACTTCTGGATCATATGGTAATTCTACTTTTAATTTTTGGAGGAGTTGGGATACCTGGGTAGCTCAGCGGTTGGGCGGCTGCCTTCAGTTGAGGTTGTGATCCCAGGATCCGGGATCGAGTTCCGCATCGGGCTCCCTGCATGGAGCCTGCTTCTCCCTCTGCCTGTGTCTCTGCCTCTCTCTGTGTGTGTCTCTCATGAATAAATAAATCTTTAAAAA